GGCTAGTTCGCTCGCTCAGGCGACTATGCCGGGGAGTTGGATCCCGATGTGCGGCGACCTCAGTTACCTCGTCGACTCAGACGAAGAGGCGAAGCCGTCCGTCGTGCGGCTCGCGTTGCAGAGCACCAGGACCACCACGGCCAGGGCAAAGCCGTTGACTTGGGGCCATCAACCGTCGCTGCGGCGGGGCAAAGTCCCCACGCCGTCAACCGCCGCCATGATAGTTTCGGCTAATCATTCATAACGGCAAATGTGGGCAATTTATATGCATATTTTAGGATAATATTTAATAATCACAAAAAGATTGGTAATTTTTTAGAAAAAAATAAAGATCCAATGGCTACTATTGTTAGTGATTAATAAATTTTGCCAAATTGATGCTTAATTCAATTTCTGTAGGGCTCTCTATGATTTATCATTTTTTTTCTAACCGTGCCTCGTGAGGTGAAGATTAACATCCAATCATAAATGGTGGGGAAGGGTTACTTATTTTAGGAAAAAAAATTGTTATTCCGGTCGCTAGAAGGTTACTCTATCTGGTCCTGTTTATAAGAAGTAGTAGTTAGATATGACACGGTCCCTCAAATTACAATTTGATTATTTATTACTATTTTTTGTGATTGTAAAATTATGATCATTGGATAGTATATTTATTGTAATAAATCTAACCATGTGAAGTTTTGTATTATAATAGTTCAAAATTCTTGGCCAAATTATTATTCAAAGATTGTGAAGTTTGAGTAATCTTGATATATATGTGTGCGCCTTATAAACTGGTCTGGAGTGAGTTTTTGTTTATTATATGATTGTAAAGGTGGATAGTTTATACTCTTATACTATGAATTATATTACTTTAATCTTTCGTGACGGCAAATGTGGGTATGTTTTATAGTAGGAAAGATCCAGATGTCAGTTATTGTGGACGATGATGAGATTGTATTGAACTGGCCAACTTGAAGCAAGTAATAATGTTGATCCTATTCTAACGTATGGCTTGAGAATTCACACCACTTGCTGGCTGCTTCTGCTGATTCATATATTTTTCTTATTAATAAAGGAAAACTTCTGTTGATTCAAATACATCATCCATCACAACAAAAAAGATTCTATAAAGCACGCATGCACCCTATACGGAGAGAAGATGTATGATGGAGAACTCGACCGGCCTTTTTCTTTTGTTGGTTTATTTATTTAATTTTTATCCGGTGCCATCCGCCAAGTATTCCGGTGCGGTCAGATTGACTGACTGATTGAGTAGGATAGCTATAGCTATCAGCTATGCATCATAGTACATCTTCCTTGAGCGGACTACTGATGGACTGCTGCACATTTGTCTCAGAAAGAAAAAGAGATTGGACTGCTGCACTGCACATCCGCCATGTATGAGCAGGGAAGACTGATTCGTTGCATGTACGACCGCCAAATATTGTGATGACTACTGATGATGAAGTGATGAACAGCACGGTTGCATTGCGCGCGCTCTCTCTCTCTATATATAATATATATAGACACACACACACAAAAAAAAAGTACAGTTTCAACTTGGTTTCTTCGTCTTCAGTTATTATCACAGTACTCCTGTGCTGGTGCGTAATCAGACTAGCAATGGCAATGACAATGACAAACGCCTATCTATAGTATCCACCGGCAAAGCTAGGAGCTAGGGGCGGCCTTGCATTGGCGGCATCATCCGTTTCGTTGAACTACTGTCTGCTAGAAAATTAGCAAAGGTTAGAGTTAATATACATAATAAAGGGATCTACCGGTCATACGCAAACTAGTTAGAGTGTGTTTGTTTACCTGACGTATCCAGCCTGCATGGACCAGCCCAGCCAGGGCAGGCAGGGGAAGGCCGAACAGGTGCAACATGGTCTTGTTTGGTCATTCTTCCCAACTGGGCCCGGTTGTTTGAGGATTGTGTGTTTTTTTTGCAACTGCCGATTGTCATGCATCCCAACTACCTACCAACTGTCTAGTTGTGACGGTGTTTGTTTGCCTGAACAGCAGCCGCATGCACCAGACGGTAACAAAGGAATGTCAAGTGCACATATTAACAGCAAGTACTAGAGCACAATTTAGATAAACAGCAGTGACATTACAACATGATAAAGCATAGATTAGAAGTATTAACTAAATGTTACAGTCATTAACCATTCCTAACAGCTATTACACTTGTTGAGCTTCAGCCACATCACACGGACCACAGCACAAAGGAAGAAAATGACCATATTTTTTAACTGATGGCACAGGGTGTTGATGCAGTTCTGTAGCGCAGAGGAACAAGGTTTAGAAGAAGGAATTGAGTTGATAGTTCAGTTGAAATCAGCAATTATTTGCTCATATGAACTGTACTTGCGATGCAAATCTCCTTTGTACCCCAAAACTTCCTCACTGCACTTAGCCTAGCTCGTGTACACAGCTGGGTTCCTGCCCTTGAAAACAACGTACCAGGTACACACATGGGTTCTATGCTATTTTTTACGATGTTCGTGTAGTGTGTTAATGTGATGCTCGACGATTATCTTTAAATACATGTTCATCATGATATAAATGTTCATTAATTTTTTTTATTGAAATGTATCCACATGGGGTCTTGTTTTGAAGAGTTTATTGCAAGAAACACGATGGTGCAATCGGATTTTAATTAGGATACTTGGTTTAGGAGCTATGACCTTTTGTACTTCAAAAGGCATGGGATATGTGCTGATGTCAGCAATTGGTTGCTGCCTGGTTTGCTGCGTGAGGCGCATGCATGATCGGCAACGTAGACCCAAATGCGCGAGAAACGACTCAATTCACGCTTCAGAAAAAAAAAATTGTTAGGGGTCGGTGCGTGGCCGGTTTCACCCATGGTCGGCGCACAGGCGCTCCCTTGAGAAAGGGTGTCTGTTGAACGGACATGCACTACATACATAGACGTAGCTAATTTAGGAACACATACTCTCTCTTGGTTATTATTGTAAGTAACTCATCAACACACATATATAGGAGCACCACCGTACCCATTGTACTGAACCAACTCGATCTTATGAGCATTATTAATCCGCCATGGCCAAGATTATGATCCTCCTCCTCCTGCTTAGTAGTGTCCTTGTTGTTGCGGATCAAGCTGCTTAGGGATCCAGAAGGTTTTCGATGCTGTCGTCTCCGCCGCCCCACCGGCCAAGCAGACGGAAACCTTGCGTGCTGCTTTGTAGCACCCACGTACCTCAAACCCCTCACTTCCGCTCTCGACAAGGCCAAGGAGTCAGGAGATGAGAAGAAAATCGCCCACCTCGTCCTTACCGTGGAGATAGCCCTTGCCATGATCAAAGCTGCGTCGTCGGAGAAGAAGCTCAAGACGATGGAGCACTACCCCAGTTTTCGACATCACCGCCGGTTCAAAATCCCCCTTTACTGCCGGATTTTGAACCGGCAGTGATGCTCGCTGGCTACTGCTATCGGTACTTTACCCGGCAGTGATAAGGTTTAGAAAACAAAAAAAAAGCAATCCACCAAGCATGTTGGCTGGAGCATGCTCGTTACCGCCGCTGCCGCCACCATGCTCGCTGGCTACCGCCGCCACTAAAGGACGGATTCAACACATCAGAAAAACTCATCCACAAATCGATTCGTGAATCGTAGACGAAGGAGAAGGGTTCAACACATCACAAATCAACCTATCCACAAATCGATTCGTACATCACAAACAAAGGAGTAGGGTTCAACACAAACAAAATAACTCATCTACAAATTGATTCACACAACATAGAGGGAGGGAGGGGAGGCCAGGAGGGGGAGATTGGGGATGCCGCCGGGCAGGCCAAGTCGCTCCAACGCTAGATCTGAGGCCACGCTTCCAGGTCACTAACCTTTCTGCCACGCAGCAAGACGAAACACCCCCAAGATTGCCAGGTAAGGCTGGCTCACCCAAATGGCAGGAACCGCGGGTCCAATCGACGTGATTACCTGAAGAACAGAGGATGAACATCGGCGGTTAGAAAACAAGTGAGCGAGTAAAGAAAAATGGCAAAAATGGCAAGCAGTTAATTAAACCCACATGCATCAGAAGTGCCACAATAAATCAACAAGGACCTCAAATCGGGAACTCCAACAAGCAAATCCCAAGCATGAATTGTGTACCTCAATCACCGCCACCGCAGTTGCGATTCAACTCAGGTCGGCAAATTGAGCCCGAAGCTCGACAGACCCCCAACCAAAAGCCCGACCTCTCGCTGGAACACACCCGGATCCGGCGGCGGAGAGCACCGGTGATGACCCTGGGCCATGAAACCGTGGCACGCCCCCCTCAGAGCGAGAAACAGATCTGAGGAGAAAGTGTGAGAGAGGAGAAAGAGCACCGGGAGGTGGATCCACGCGAGCCGCCCGCGGTCGCTCGCCCGCCCGCGCTTGTGCCGGTCGCCCGAGCCACGCCAGCGCTAGGAGGAAGAAGCCACGCCGGGATCCCGACCGCTCGCCGGCGCCCACGGCGGCCTCGCGCCCGCGTCGGCCTCATGCCTTCGCCGCACCGGCGTCCCGACCTCTCATCGGCGGCCGCAGCGAGGTGGATTTGGAGAGGAGATTTGGGGGAGGAGGAGGTCTGAGGAGCGGCGGAGAAATATCTTCACTGGCGGTCTGAAGAAAGAGAGGAGAGAGAGCGGGGAGAGATGAAAAAGGTGTGCACGGACGAGTTAACCAGGATGAATAAAAATTTTGGGTCCGGAGCCTATGGATTAGTGGCGGTCTGTGAAATGCAACCGGCAGTGATATCTATCACTGCCGGTTTTTATTACCAACCGGCAGTGATAATATCTATCACTGTCGGTTTGTTAGAAAATCCGGCAGTGATAGCCTTTTTCTTACGAACCGACAGTGATGCATCTATCAGTGTCGGTTTTAAAATTCCGGTAGTGATAGGGTCGATAGTGATAGCTTATTCTGGAGTAGTGGAGGACTCCTTCAACTCGGTAGCCGCACCCAGCCCGCTGGATTGCCCCAACGTCGACAAGGCCTACTGCGAGATGCACTCCAAGGTTCAGAAGGCCTTCAATGGAGTCGCCGCGGCTGACCTAGCAAACAAAATGTCGGAGGCCCAAGCTGCCGTCCTCAAGGAAACATTGTACACCGCTGGCGCCACTATCAGCAAGGCGTATACGGATGGAGATGAGAAAAAGATCGCTCAGGTCCTTGCTGCCTACAGCAAGGCAACTGATGAGGTCATTGTGGCCGCTCCTGTTGACAAGCTCAACGTCTTGGAGAAGACCTTCACCGCCGCCACCACCACTGGGAATTGAAGTATTGATTGATCGAGTCGTCCATCCGTGTCATCACCACTACCACTTCCTCGATATATACGAGGCATTAATTGAGGCAAAACCTCCACTCGTTGTTCGATCTCATAACTAGGTTTGTCCATCATTTTTTGATAGACAAATAATGTTTATTTTTTACACACTTTATAATTTTTTTACTTTTTAAAGAGCAATTGTTTATTTAGAAAAATGAAGAACTTGTATTCGGCCTTCTGTGGCCGCACACAGCCTATTTGGAGGGCGAATGTTGTGGCTTTTAATATTATGATATTAAGATAACATATTCTGAAATTGATTGTGTGATTGAGCTAGCAGTGACTTGTTCAAATGATCCGGACATGTTCTTAGGACGAGATATTGGTGTTGTGCCCAATGATACAAATTTTACACACTTTTGTCAGCAGACCCAACTGGCATACCTAAACAACTCTAGAAAATGGTGTGTAAGAAAAATGCATGGCCCCATTATCGAGGCCAAAGTTTGTTATATTTTGGTGATTGAATCCGTACGAATTGAACGGTTCCACCACAGTGCGTGTAATTAAACATTGTTGATAGTTTGTCTCCACCTGCTTCTAACAAACGAGTGGCTTCTACTTTACATGGAAAATATAACTAAGAGACCAATGGTGGTCACCCTTGGATGATGAGTGATTGACAACCATGGTGTCGAACTGATTATGCACCTCTTGGCTTGTCATGTGCACGTGTTGGATGCAGCACGGCGGTCGACGACATGCATGAGGTGAAGGTCAAGCCAAGTGTTCATGCCGATGGACCAAGCTAGGGCGGTGAAGGATGAACAAAGGAGGCTAGTAGCTTGGACCGAGGGACCCGAGGAGTTCGTGCGAGGTCATGGGAGATCCACATCGTGCATGTGAAGAGCAAGAGTACGTGCATGGTGGAGGATGGCACGAAAGAAAGGTGTTGACCAAGTCAAGGCGAAGTCGGGCTCAAGGAAAAGGGGCGACCCAGGAGCAAAACCCAAGTATGTACTTAGTGATGACATGGGCCGAGGACGAGGCAAGGACACGCGTCGGCGTCATAGACCTTGTGTGGCGGATACACAAGGTGGCTCGGAGGAGCGTGCTAGGGTTTGCCAGTTTCGCCTCAAAACTAGGGGCGTCGCGGATCGGAGGACAGATATGGCACCATCACTGATGTCCTGGACTAAAATGCTAGAAGAGAACTTTGGACCAAAATGCGGTATGGATCTTGTCCTTGACTAATGTCCACGTAAAAACTTTGATATGGCACCATCACTGATGTCCTGGACTAAAATGTCGGAAGAGAACTTTGGACCAAAATGTGGTATGGATCTTGTCCTTGACTAATGTCCACGCAAAAACTTTGCACTTGTTTTCTGCGTGCGCTTTCCAGATTAGGTTGGTTTTGAACATGTTGTAAGCACCTTTGAACTGTATTTGATGAGACGAGCATGTGGAGTAATGTTCATCCGCCATCCATCCCCAGGTGATCATGTCTCTCACCTCAGGCCGTAGTTGTACTTCTTGTAGTCGGATCCAAAGTGAGACAAATTCCTCACATGCTCTGTGGTTGTTATGTTACTGCGCAGGGAGTTAATCGAGGCATTATTCTTTAATTTTTTTTCTCTTGACTAGTTCAAATAAGTTAGTCGCCAGGTTTCTCGGAGCTTCCCCATCGAGCCAATGGTGATGCCAGAACCGGGCCTCCTTCGCGTTGCCAATTGTGATGATGGTGGAGGCGTCGAATAAGAGTCGATCAACTGCATTGCATGGCAGCTCAATCCCTACCCATGGCTTGGATTCGTCCACCCAGAGTCACAACGACCATATGAGGCGTAGGACCCTCCCAAATTTGTCGATGTCCGCAACACTTAGGCCCCAAGTTCTTTCACTCTACTGACCATTGGCCAATTTACTAGACAATGGCCACCATTTATTTGCTTGGTCAATCCCTTTCCATAAGAAGGATCTCCGATGTTGAGTTGAGCCCCCGCCACCAATGGCCCTCCAATTTAGTAAACAAAAGAGCTAACATATATTTTGGCCCGTCCAACTTGACCATTCCCTTACCAGCCCGAACCATGCATGGCTGGGCCTGGGCTGGACAATATCCTCAAGATTGGCAACTGATGTGAGCCCATATGCATGCATGCATTTGTACAATATAATATATACTCCATCCGTCCCCAAACAGATGTCATTCTCACTTTCCGAGAATTCAAGCACTTTTAACTTTGACTAAAATATATATATAATATTAATATTTATAATACATAATTAGTATCATTAAGTAGATCGTTGAATATACTTTCATAATAAACTTATTTGGAGATATAAATATTGCACGTATTTTGTACAAACTTAGTCAAAGTTGAGAGAGTTTGACCCGCACGTATCCCATGACTTCTATTTTGGGACAGAGGGAGTAGTTGTATTCTACTTCTTCCTCTAAAATTTGAAATTTCTGCGAAGAAAATAGTACAATTTAATTAAACATGCTTATATGCTCTCCGTGATACTACTACTTATAGCTAGATAGATGTTTGCTCGTGTGTCATGAACAATAAGAAGAAATTCGTATGGAAGCAAAAGCAAACAAAAAAAGAAAAAATGTAGTATCACGTACGTAGAGCTTACGTATAGCATATACCGTCGTCGTGCGTCTCGCCATCTCGCTTCTCGCGCGCGCAAGTATATATACCGGCGCGGCTACACCACCCTAGTGGTGGCGCGCGGTGTCCATCTCCCATATCTCCATCTGTACGTTGTCTGCGGTCAATGCTTCAGCTCCTCTCACAAGGTAAGGTAAGTACGAGAGCGAGTGCGACGGCAGCTAGCTGTGCTAGCTAGTTCAAGTCAAGACGACGACGTAGCTAGCTAGTCGGCTCAAATGGTGGCTATAGGAGCTGTGTGACTGCAACTGCAAGTCTGCAACTGCATGCTCGATCACCATGATTGCACTCCGCTAGTACTTAGCAGCGCTGAATCCGTGGCTGCTGCGTGCATTGTTGGCATTTTCTTCAATTCTTAGCACTGGCCGGGGCCCTAGCTGCTTTCAGCTGAAGTTGAGATTAGAGATCGAGATTGTCAGATCGATCGAGACATGCATGGAGAGAGGATATATATACCCTGTCATATATATATATATATATACGAAAAGCTAGCAGCAGCATCCATCATCCATCGTCACCGGCACTCAGGCATCTTTCAGTTTGTCAGTTAGCGTACGTTATCACCCGGCATGCATCGTCTTTCAGTTTGTCAGGTAGCGTGCTAGTCCAACCGCGTCAAGCAGTTACAGTAGCTAGAGTATCTGTATCTGTATGACACCGGGAGAATTGATGAGATGGAGCCGTCTGCATGCCCTGTCGATTGTCGTGTGTGTTGAGAATTCCATTCGTTCACACGTATGCCTACTTGCAGCCATTATTTACAGATGATAGAGAGATACTGATATATACTGATGCTGGTACTACCTAGTAGTAGTAGTACTAGTAATTTGACCACCCATCCATTCGTTCAATCGGCAGGCAGCTTCCTTCCTTCCTGGCTTCTTGTTCACACCATAATGATACCGGCCGCCAAGCGTCAATACACACGTACATAGCATGATCGATTGTGCTGCTGTTCATATTATACTAGCTATTTGTACGATACAAATGCATGTAACGAACTCACAAAACGCACGTAATATAGGACCTGTTTAGCATAGCTCAATTTCACTAGTGAAGTTTTTTTTTTTTTTTGCAAAACAGCTTCACAAGTAGTTTTTTTAGTGAAGCTGAGCTATTTTAGAAAAAGTGTTTGGCAAAATAGCTTCACCAACAATTCATGAGGGAGAGAACTGGGATAAGCTACTATTTTCAGCTTCATCCCAACTCATGTCTTTGTGAGAGGAGGAGGAAATGAGTGTTTGGCAAATAAAAAAAGAAAAATAAACATCTAGCGAAGCTGTCGTGAGCTTTGCCAAATAGACCCATAATACATCACTGCAGCCTGTCTTGCTCTATCGATCGTGTGTGTGTGTGTGTATATATATATATATATATATAGCTCACACACACTACATGCATGCTTCTCAGCTCATACTATATGATGCAAAATGTACTAACTCACACTATACAGCATTCAATATATACCTTTGCATGCATTTCACAATTAATAATGGTAATAACAAGTACTGTAGTAGCTCTCACATCTCACTAAATGGAGGAGGAGGAAAAACCACGCACACACCCTTCCCATATACATATATCCTTTTTTAAAAGAAAAGAAAAGAAAAGAAAATAAATAATAGAAGATGCATGGTAAATAATGATAGGGAAAATACAAGTACGTGCTCACTCAAACAATGCATTGTATTGAACTGATGGCCAACTTGAAGCAAGTAATGTGTTGATCCTATTCTAAAACGTATGGCTTGAGAATTCACACCGTACCACTTGCTGGCTGCTTCTGCTGATTCATAGTATATATTTTTCTTTTCTTATTACAGGAAAAATTAAACTTGTGTTGATTCAAATACATCGATCACAACAAAAAAGATAAGATAAAGCACGCATGCTGGAGAGATGTATGATGGAGCGAGAACCCGAGTGGCCTTTTTTTCTTTTGTTAATTGGTTTATTTAATTTCTATCCAGTGCCATCCGCCATGTATTCCGGTGTGGTCAGATTGACTGAGGGCGTGATTGGTTGCTCTGAGCTCGGTCATTCGAGATGAAGGCCCCATCCAGGCTCAGGATAGCCCTGCTGATACCATTCACCCTCCTGTGTTTGGTTGCACTTGAGGCTTGCGTACTAGATGACTTCCTTCTCGTTTGGTTGCCAGCATGGAGCATTAAGTGGTAAGAAGTTGTCCCCCTAGCTCTGTTTGGTTTGCTGCACGGCAACAGGTCTAGGCACCCAGGTATGGTTTTGGTGAGGTTACCATACTTCTCAGGAAAACGAGCAAGACAGAGGATTTGTTTGCCTCAGTTCATTGTGCCTTTTCATC